TAGCAGACGGACACTTTCGGCACATGATAGCATAGATTATATTTCTGGATGCGCAGGAATATGTGTTCTTGATCTTATAACTCACTTGGTTAGGTCCAATAATGGTATCAGCAGAATGAATATGTGGACAAAGCTGGCAACGGGGTTTGTTGCAAGGGAAGGTACCAGGGTTGGTATTAGTGTGGTATGTCCTGTGGTTGTTGGTAAGAATTATCTTGAGGTTAGGTGGTTGTCTATAGGAGACTATGGGTCTGTCTCCCAGAGCCTCTTGGAGTATGGTATCCTGTTCCAGTATAGGCTGTAGTTTATTGATAATGTGTTGGACAGGTTTAAGTTGGGGGTTGTAGGTGATGACAAGTGGTGTTCTATTGTTGGTTTTCTTGGGTCTGTCTTGAAGTAGATGGTTTCTAGGTATTCGTCTGGCTCTTTCAATTTGCTTTTTTATTTCTCCGGGTGGGTAGTTGAGGTTTATAAATGCTTGGTAGAGATCCTGAAGCTTCTGGTCTCTGTCAGTGGGATTAGAGCAGATGCGGTTGTATCGAAGGGCTTGGCTATAGACGATGGATCATGTGGTGTGTTCTGGATGGGAGCCGGAAGCATGTAGGTAACTCTGAGTCGGTGGGTTTTCTGTAGAGAGTGGTGTCTAATTTTCCATTGTTGATTTGTACTGTGGTGTCCAGGAAGTGGATCTCTCGTGTAGAATGGTCCAGGCTGAGGTTAATGGTGGGGTGTAGGTTGTTGAAATCTCTGTGGAATATCTCCAGTGTTTCTTGGCCATGCGTCCAGATCATAAAGATGTCATCGATGTACCGTAGGTAGAGGAGGGGTGAAAGGGGACGGGAGTTGAGGAAACGTTGTTTTAGGTCAGCCATAAAAATGTTAGCATACTGTGGGGCCATGCGTGTCCCCATGGCTGTGCCGCCGATCTGGAGGTATAAGTTGTTCTCAAACGGGAAATAATTGTGGGTGAGAACAAAGTTACATAGGTCTGCTGTCAGGTGGCAGTAGTGTCCTCTGGGATAGTGTTTCTAATTGCTTGTAATCCGTCTTCATGTGGGATGTTGGTATATAGAGCTTCTACATCCATGGTGGCAAGGACTTTTTTCCATAATGTGGAAAGGGAGGGGGCTGATCAGAGGAGAGCAATACAACAGAGTGACCACTGGGGGCAGTTGCACTAGCAGGAGAGTGGTCAGCTGGGGATGGGCTCCACATGGCTGGCCATCAGAGCAGGTAAGTGACCCCCCCTGACCCAAACAGTGCCAGACAGGGGGCAGCCTCACTGCCCACCGTCCTGCCCTTGGGATCACTCCTGGGACTTGGCCGCACAGCCCTGCCTCCATCCAGGAGAGGCCCCCGCCCAAGAGGGCTGGGAACTGTGCCTCTCCCCTGAAGAAATGTCCCTGTCCCTCCAAAAGGGAGTCCAGGGCTCAGAACTGCCCATACCTGGAGGAGATGTCTCCATCCCCCCATGGGAGGCCAGGGCTGGGAACTGTAGCCCAGCCCCAGAACAGTTAGAACAGCTGTAGACTGGGGAAGGAGGGGCTGGAGATTGGGGCCCAAGCAACTCCAGGTACATCTGCGAGTGGCTCTGTGTGAGCTGACACGGCCCCTGCCACTCGCCTTCCTGCTCTCTGGTGCTCCTCACTGCCCGGTCCTGCTGGGCCAGCTCTCTGGTCTCCCCCAGCCAAGGCCCCGAGCTGAGGTCCCTGCCCCCACTGAGAAGCTGCACAGACACTGAACCACTTCAGGTCCGAGAAGAGTGCAGTTTAGGGCCCAGCCTCCCGAGAGAGCACTCCCCAGATGGGATCAAACCTGAAAGAATTAGGTAAGTGCCCTTTAACAATGAAAGGGGGAATGTCACACTGGTTGCCCCTCAGGTAACAATCACTTACACTGGGTTTGAAAGAAAATAAAAATGGTTTTATTAAGTTGAAGCGTAGGATTTAAGTAGTAATAAGAGAAAGTCGGCAGAGCAAAGGAGGTTACAAATAATCAAAAGAAAAAAAACCGCTTGGCTAATTCTCAACTGAAACCTCAGTGCAAACTTAAACTCATCCTCAAACCTCTTTTCCAGCTGCCCCTCCAGACCAGGGCTCTCTTCCACACCCTGGGGTCCCTGGCTCCTTCCTTCAGGTGCAGCCCAGCCAAAAGACCCAGGCCTCTGCTTTCCTATTCCTTTTGTTAAGGAGTTGATGTCGCTCCCTACCAACCACTGCTTGGACAAAAGATTGTTTTACAGTGGCTCATCTAGAAGTTGCAGGAAACACCTTCCATGTCTCCCATTCACACACTGGAAACTCACATATTATTCCCCACTCCCTTGCTATGTCTACATTAGCACCCTTTTGCAGAAAAGGGATGCTAATGAGACACTTCGGAATTGCAAATGCCGCGGGGGATTTAAATATCCCCCGCGGCATTTGCATGAACATGGCTGCTCCTTTTTTCCGGCTCGGGGTAAAGCCAGAGAAAAGCGCCAGTCTAGACGCGATTTTCCGGAAAATAAACCCTTTTCCGGAAGATGGAGAAAATGCCAGGGATCTTCCGGAAAAGGGCTTATTTTCCACAAGATGCCGTCTAGACTGGCGCTTTTCTTCGGCATAACCCTGAGCCGGAAAAAAGCGGCAGCCATGTTCATGCAAATGCCGCGGGGGATATTTAAATCCCACGTGGCATTTGCAATTCCGAAGTGTCTCATTAGCATCCCTTTTCCGCAAAAGGGTGCCAATGTAGACACAGCCCCTGTGTCTAATTTTACACACACAAATGATACATACAACAGAGTAAGATAAACAGAACTAGCAAATCATGACATGAAGATTGATGAGTTACATGAAATAATTTGCCCAAACCACCTTTGAGTTATGTATGTTCACATCCATGAGTCTAGTTCATAAAGCATGGGGCGGGGGAAGTCCCTCACACATATATATAAACTTTTCTGGTTTCTTGGCAAACCTTTCCATTGTTGGAACAAAAAACAGGACTATGTAGCACTTTAAAGACTAACAAGAGTCCTGTTTTTTGTTCCAGCTACACCAGACTAACATGGCTACATTTCTATTACTTTCCATTGTTGTGAGTCTCACAATGAAAAGCGAGCAAAACAAATGGAATATTCAAGGGACAGAATTGTCTAATGGTTAGTGCGGGGGACCCTGAATTCTATTTCTGGGGTTAGGAGGCTGTGATGTTCATTAGTTAGAGCAGAGAACTAGAATCAGGACTTGGATTTTATTCTTGGCTTTGTCTGCCTCTGTCTTGCTATGTCACATTCAGCAAGCCATTCAACTACTCTGTGCCTTACAGTGAACATAGGGCCTTGGGTACTTTTCAGTCCTTAGTGGATGTCATCTTCAGGGGAAATATCTGTAACCTCTAAACCATTCTTAAGTTAAAGATTTAGGGGTTAGAAGCAATCTCCATTCCCTGTTTTGATCAGTCTGAAAAAGCTCCTTTAGAATCACGACGTAAGACCTTGTTACAGATAGATCAGAAGTTGGATCTGATTCATTTCACTGTGTCTGGCCTGGGGATACTAGTAACATATCTTCAAAAGACTACATTCCTTTTATTATAAAAAGAGTGAAGCAGCAATGAAATTGCCTTTTCTTCAGGGTCCAATCAACTTTGATTTGTGATAATGCTTTTATGTGGGAGAATCTGGAGTCTGGAAAATACCCCAAAACATAATAATTTGCACTTTGTGAATTTCCCTTTTTCTTACACGGGGAGGCTAATAATATTCTTAGTTGTGACATGTTTAAAATGCTTAAAAAGCTCTGCGAATAAATGAGAAGTTTTCTACCATTTCCAAGACATTTTTATTCCTATCACTAGTTGTTGATTCCATTTTAAGGGTTGCTCAGAGGGGAAGCTTTTGAATGACTATTGTTTTATTATTTCAAATGTTGATTATTTTTAATTTTTAAATCATTGTGGGTAGATATGTTTCTTTTTGTTCCCTAGCTGTGAGCAGAGAAACCATCATTCACTGAATATTTTCTTTTTATCAATATGAAAGGAAGGACCAGGGATACAACTGTAAATGCAAAATGTTTACACATGGAAGATCTATTTTAGCTTATTCTCAAGGGGCCATTGCTCACCAGAGTTCTGTGCAGTCAATTCCGTGGTATCTCTGGTATTTGGCCTTTACAGTTGAAAGGGATACAAAAAATTCAGTGCCCGATTAAATATTTTTAAAGTGCTCAGTTCTTCTACAACTTCTATTCTGCGTATGCCATGCTTAGTTGGAAGATTCAGCAAAAACAATGAGGTGTCCTGTGGCACCTTAGAGACTAGCCGATTTGTTGGGACAGAAAGCTTATGCGCTAATAAATCTGTTAAGCTCGAAGGTGCCACAGGACTCCTTGTTGTTTTTGCAGATACAGACCAACATGGCAACCCCTCTGAAACTTTTGAAATGGTCTGTATGACTCACTTTGGCTTTATTTCTTGTGACTAGGGCATTCATCTCATAATCACGATTAAACCTGTATCCCCTAGCATCCCATACTCTGTAGACATGTGTGCACACCCATCTTTGTGTGCATTTATTTCTCGAAAGAATCTCAATCAGCATGATCTTTTGTGGATTCCAATTTTATTTACTTTGGTGAGAGAAATTTCATTTTTTTGGTATTACTGGACCTGGTGTTTGAAACACTCGTTTACAATATTAAAAAAAACCCTTATTTGTCTGTGTTTTCATAAATGGAAAATGGGGATGATTATCTCAAGAGCTCCCAACGCTTTGATTGTGCAGAGCCATAAAATCCTCTGCTAAAGGTGCTATACAACTGCAGAGTGTTATTTTCCTGCACCAGACCTCCTGCTCCCGGCTGTGGGTAAGGGAGTCATTGGAGTGTACGTTAGTGCTCTTGCTTGTCGCTATGGCCCAACAAACCACATCATTCCAGCCCTGTCCAGGGTCGGTCTCTGCTCGGTGCTACTGGAGTTGTGCAGCGAAGTCTGTTCTTTTGTTGCCCTTGCAGACTAAAAACCTGGACTTCCGTCGGAAGTGGGATAAAGATGAATATGAGAAACTTGCAGAGAAACGGCTCACGGAAGAGAGAGAGAAGAAAGATGGTGAGTAGTGAGCTGACTCCAGACAGACTTTCTTCTACTCACTCCCCATGTCCCTCGAGAGGGAGAGCAGCTGGAAGCAAAATACTAAAGGGAAATAATCCCAGTTCAGGGCCCGTTTATTCTCCGTTCCTTTTCCTTTGCTTGCCATAGACGATAATCCAGTGTTTTGTGGTTTTGTTTTTAAAAGGCCGGGAACCGTGTTCCTTCCCTGCTCTATTCCATGGAGTTGGAAGAATGTTCAACATTGGGCAATGGGAGCTCAAAGTGTCGCCCAGTTGGAAAACTGGGGATATTTCAGCAATGTTATTCATGAATGTTTGAAACTGTCAGATTTACTTTACCATTCCCTACCATGCAGGAAAATACTCCTTAAAATGGAATCCCCTGAATGAGATGGGTCATTGGTTCTCATTGCTCTTCTCTGTGTGGGCAACTTGTGATCCATTGGTTTTGGTTACGTTTTTTAGGCAAACCAGTTCAGCCTGTCAAAAGGGAGCTTCTGCGGCACCGAGACTATAAGGTGGATCTGGAATCTAAGCTGGGGAAAACCATCGTCATCACCAAAACTACCCCTCAGTCAGAGATGGGAGGGTAAGGCACCTTTTACTTTTCCCCCCCAGCTCTCGTGTAACTGTTAATAGAGAGAGTGTCTCGGGCAGTGTGACATGCAACTGGGGTCGTGGCAAAGCGAGGAACCCCTACAGCATGCAAGTCTCTGTACCGCACAGTGGAAATGCTTTATAGTTACAGCAGCTTCTTTATCCTGTTGCATCTGGAAATTAAGTTTTTTGAGTTGCGGCCAGAAGCAGAACAGTGCAGGCTTCCTCCATTACCAGCTCACATGAATATTTCTCAGCCACACTCTGGAAACATCGTCTGAGTTTGGGCTCCCCCTGCCTTGTACACCCTTGCAGGCTGCATCTGCACACCCTGGGTTCCCCATCCCTGCCCTATGTTCTAGATAACTTCCCTTTCCCAGAATCAGGCTTATTGTTCTGGTGGTCACTTACTGGAGAGCAGACCATCCACTTACATGTCCTGTGTACTGCTGGGCTCATACATACCGCGTTTCTGAATGCTCAGCCTTCTAGCTTTCTCGCCGGGCTGTGTTTGAGTCTAGGGCTGTTGTCTTGAATTGAACTAGTGGGCCCAGGCAAACTTCTCCATTTAGCATGAAAGGAAAATTCTTGCAGGGTGACTTTTGTCTTGTGCGCTGGAGCTGATCCCTTCTCTCTTTCTCCCCAGATATTACTGCAATGTGTGTGACTGTGTGGTGAAAGACTCCATCAACTTCTTGGACCATATCAATGGCAAAAAGCGTAAGGATAACTTATTTTCTCTGTGCCACGCTGCACGGTCGCTAAAGAACTACAAGTGCCACTACCCTTACCAAAGGTACTTCCTTCTCTGTGGCCAGGGCCTCCAGGGCCAGGTATTGGCACATATGGAAATGAATGCTTCCGATACTAGGGTTTACGAAATGTTTGCTGGGGAGGGCCATGGAGAATGCTGCCTGGTTCTTTCCTAGCAACTCCTCTACTGTGCTGGAGGCTGCTGGTGTGAATTGAGCTCAGGAGAAATTGCACCAGTTGTGCCCTTTGTTGGGCTGGGTGTGAGAAAATGCCTCAGATTTTCTGTTGCCAGAGAACCCCATTGCCAGCAAGCTGCACAGTTCCTCAGGGCACTTGGAGTGGGTGATAAATATCATTGGAACGTCCGTGTCAGGAGGAAATGGGATATATCGCCTCATGCCTGGCTCTCGTTCTTAGAGGAATTCCTGAGCTCTGATACCTCCTCTGATGTGGTCTCCCTCCATGGCTCTGCCTCATCTCTAAAATGTGGATCAAAAGCACAGGGTGTTGAGGGGATTAACTACCTTACGTTGATAAAGAATTGTTGAATTGCCTCGTAGAGCCGTACTGTGCAAGCCATGTGCTGGCTGCCGTTGATAGCGACACAGCCATTCAGAAGCTGCTTGTGCCTAGGCGGGATCAAAGGGTTTCCGGGCCTGAAGTATAAAAAGCTACCCCTCCCCCTCTGCACCAACTCTCTCTCCTTTTTCTACCTGTGTGACCATTTCTACCTGTGTGACCATTCATGGACATAGGGTCTCCTGTTCTCACAACTTCATCTTATGGTTAGTTTGAATGTAACATCCGCTTAGCTCTTCTGTTGTATAACTGGGTATAGCCAGAGTATTTCATTGTTAACATAAATCTGTGCCGACCAAGCAGTTCTCTTGATCTTGGCTCCATTGGAATTGTTGTGGAGCCATGAATGTGAGGCTGGATTCACAAAGCAGGCATCTTGCTGAGTCAGCTGGCTACTGCAGGTCAGCATGTTGGTGAGGAGAAAAGTACAGTCCCAGCAGGTGTTCATCCTATGTGGTTTGTCCCCCAGTAAGCGAGCTGAGAGTGGGGAAGGAGGTCTTCCTGATGGAGAAGGATTTGACTCCATGCCCTTGATTTTCAAAGCTGATGAATTTATCAGTGTGGCTCAGTCCTCAGGTGAGAGCGTGTGTTCTCTGCCTTTGAGGTCAGCAGTGTGCAGACATTTTCAGAGACCATTATCATCAAAGCTGCCACAGATACTGTTTTATCCCTGGAAGCCAGGGACGGAGTTGGGATCCATCACCTCGGATCAAAAGTGAAGGAGGAGGGCAAGAAAGTATGCAGAATCTTCAATTTCTCCATTTGTTGTGGGAAAGGAAATCTCAACATCTTAGTCCAAAGGGATCGGGCAAAGAGTTCACAATCTAAGTAATCTTCAGAATCTGTCTGTTTTGAGGAAGTTACCAATGGTGGTTTCAAAACGTTAGGTTTAACCAAGACTGAATCCCAGACTGGAGCAGCCCCCAGAAGATTCCAAGGCATTTTTAGATAATATAATCTAGATGCCCATGGATCTGGAATTCCCCTCTTTCTAGTCCTAAATGAAAAGTCTCAGAATGTTTTATACGGTTGGGGGTGTGCAGGGAGCAAAATGGTTGCTGACCTACTAATAAAGGCTGTTTGGACATAGGTAGGAAGTTGTGGGCTCACCTCGCCACAGTACCCACACTCATAAAGGAAATGAATTGGTCAAATTCAGTTGTGTGTGGAGTGCTAAGATGATGCAGTGCTCGGGGCCATCCAAGTGGGTCGATAGATCTTCAGCCTTCATGTTCTAAAGACTCAAATAGCAATTGTTCATGTTTTCTCCCTTGGGTGGGGTCTCATGCATTTGAAAAGGAAGAGACTTGTAGCGTAAATCCCTTACGGCCCATATTCATAGAGACCCACTTTCTACCTCCCAGCCATTGTTCCTCTGTCAAAGCTCAGGTTTCCTGACCTCTCTAAAAGCCCCATGTTGTTTCTTTTCTCATCTGTACTTTGTTGGGGATAGGCTGCTTCATGTTTCCTTTTCCATGTCAGATGAATGGGTGCTAGAAATGATGATGGGAAATGGCAGTTGTTTTGTATTTTCTCTCTCTCTCTCTTTTTAGGGGCCTTTCTCACAAGGAGGTGCTGTGGGGGAAATTATTTCCCTTTGAAGATTGGTACTGTGGAAACAGTGTCTGAGTTCAAAGGCAAAGGCTGCTATTCCTTTTATTAATATTTTTCTTAGGTCCTTAAAAGAAAGTGAGGATTTTGTCTTGTCTTATAGCATTAAAAACTAAACTAATTCATTAAGAATTAAGTCTTGTGTAGTTTCCCTATCAAATATTCCTTTCATTGCTTCTCAGCACAGGTTTAATGTGCTCCACCTCAGACATTTATTCTCATAATTCTATCTGAAGACGACCCAGGAAACTTCCAAGGTTCTAGTTTAGTAACAAGCATTTCCAATACAAGGTATCACCATTTTCCGAAGCCCTGGGGTGTTTATCTGTGGTGGCTCTTCACTTAAGAAAACAAAGTCTTTGGGTCTGGCTGCACATTTGATAAGTTTGGCTTACTCAGCCAATTGGCAGCGTGGCTCGGGATCTCTTGCAATCTGCCTGACTATCAAAGGCTGAGCAAATGTGGAAAGTGCAGTTGGAGCCAAGTCAAAGTCTGACTTTTACAAAGCAGTTCTGGACTCCTCAAGGGGCCTGGCATTGCTGCTGCTTGACACATTCAAAGAGGTTTTAGAAGCACTGCAGCTAGTGCATGAGCCAGATTCTCGCCTGGTGCTGAGTGTCATGGTGCCATGAATGCTCTTAACTCCTCGAGCAAGATTGTGAGTGACATCTCTTCGGAGGGGGTTACGTTCTGGACACAGTCCAAACTTACACAGTTTGAACAAGATTCTCTGTTTAATTAGGGGCTCGTTGAACCACTCCTCTTTCATGCTGATGCTACTTTCTAGTCTTCTGAAGTGAGCAGTTTCAGAGCCCATCTTTGAAGGAGAAATGGGCATTATTCACCCAATGACTTGAATGTGTTCCGAGTCAGCGGAGCAGAGTACAGGTTCTGGGTGCGATCTTTTTATACACTTGGGTTCTGGAACCTTTTTGTCCTATCTAGGCACTGGCATCCTGGATGAATTGCAGTTCGAGAACCTCTAAATTCAAAGCCACTGTGGAGTCATCAAAGTGTTTGAGTTGTCTATGGATCTGCTTCTGTGCTGTTGGTGGAGGACGTGGGGGGAAATGAGGCGATCCCACCGTCCTAGAAAGTTTCCGTTGTGCTTGCGTTAGCCGTGAGTGTTTTCACCCTGTGAGTTTGACAGCAGCTCTATATAGTTAAGACTCTTCCTTGTATTGTGTAATAACACATCTGAGGTTTGTGACTTTTTCTGTTGTACGCAAAAGATAAACTAAAGGAGTGGGACTGTAGACTGGGACAATCTTTGGACCAGTTGCCCCATTCTGTGGAGTTAAAGAGGCACGAGAGAAAATCTTATGGGAATCCAGGCTGGAGCGGGAAGGGAGGAGACCGACCTAGGAACTCAAAGGGAAGAGAGATGGGTGGAAATGTGAGTGTGGAAAAATGAAGAGAATGCAAAAATGTGTCAAAATAAACCTTTTGGGGTGGGAGACAGGAAAAATGGGCTGTCTGCAGCATCTGGCCCTGGCTCTCGACCGACTGTGGCTCCAGGAAGGGAGGGGCAGGGCTTGGAGACGGAATGCATTAGATTGTGGGGATATTCCTTTAAAACCCATCCCGTCAGACACTGCAAATGGCTCAAATATGGAAACCGGGGGCTGAGATGGAGACCAGAGCGGTCGCGTGCTGTCTGCGAGCACGGAGCTCCACTAGCAGCTCCCCGCGGGGACCCTCTTTCCTTTACTCGATCTTTCTCCGGTTGCCCTTGCGCTCGCTGCCAGCGCTCCAGGTTACAGGCCGGCTTAACCGTTGCCTTGCCCCTTGTGGTGCAAAATGGGTCTGAAGTGCCAGTGGTCAGAGAGGCCGCAGCTGCTTTGCAGGTGAGTAATGAGCACACAAAGCGCAGGCTCTCAGGTGGCGCTGGAAGTGGGCCGAGGAGCGTTGGTGCCAGGGGATGTAGAGGGGGCTGAGTGAAGGAGGTTACAATGACACCGAGCGCTGAGACTTCTCATTTTGGGTCATGGAGTAGGCTGCCTGCGGGTGGTTAATGAGCGCCGCAGTAGAAGTAACAGGGCTGCGGCTGTACTAGGCCTCTCCGTTCCTGTCTCTTCAGATCAGAGGAACCTGGGCATGTCCATGCGGGTGGAGCGCTCCACGCTGGACCAGGTGAAGAAACGCTTTGAAGTGAACAAGAAGAAGATGGAGGAGAAGCAAAAGGACTATGACTTCGAGGAGAGGATGAAGGAGCTTCGCGAGGAGGTGAGGCAGTGGCTGCATCGCAGCAATCCTGTGAGACCCCTTCATTGGAGGAAGCCACCGTGCGCACGTCTAGACTACGTTTTATTTATGCACATTCCGATCGCTTTTTCGAAAGCAGGTCTTTCGAAAGTGAAAGTAGTCTGGATGCGGGGGTTTTTGGAAAAACACCCCTTTTTCGAAAAACCGCTTAAACCTCCGAGGTGAGGCAGTGGCTGCATCGCAGCAATCCTGTGAGACCCCTTCATTGGAGGAAGCCACCGTGCGCACGTCTAGACTACGTTTTATTTATGCACATTCCGATCGCTTTTTCGAAAGCAGGTCTTTCGAAAGTGAAAGTAGTCTGGATGCGGGGGTTTTTGGAAAAACACCCCTTTTTCGAAAAACCGCTTAAACCTCC